GCGGCTCAGTAGCCGAAGGTGGAAATGAAAGTTGAATCCAATGCCGCATTTTCCACTTCTACTTAAGTATGATTCACTGCAAAGAGACCACGGAGTCCCCAGAGGAAATTATCACCAACACATCGAATTTCAAGGGATTAGGCGATGGGAAAATGATGCGACACGATGTGGCCCGTATTACAGGTGCTCTGAGAGACTATTCCAGGCTACTGTTCCTCACATTGTTGCTCCATCCCTTTCAAAGGAGTTTGTGAAATTAAAGAGGTGGGCGCAATCGGTGGCCAATCTCATGAAATGTTAGTCGAAATCCTATAATGGCTTTTTGATTAGGAAGGATTACTTGGGTGGGATTTTAATATTGATTAACTTGCGGCATCAACCAAACATATTTAGAAAATGCTAGAATGTTGGCTTTTAAATGTAAATACCACCTTTTAATCGTTTGCGAGACCAGATTCGGTAAAAATGATTGCTTAAGCAGTATGGATATGTTGTACTGATTCTATTGTAAACCCAAGAATACTATGGGACGAAAATGCAAAAAACATTCTTCTTGTGTTCTGTTGGTAAAAAAGCACTCGTTTGGCAAACCCAAAACTCAAAGGCAGGGCATATCTAGGTTTTAAAGGAGTTTTTGAATTCATGAATACTTTTGAGCCAGATTTCCTGCTGCACTTGCGGCGAGGTCTTCCGTTCAAAAGCTGTATACTTTCCATGTAAGGTAAATCATGCATTCCTCTATTCTGTTAAGCCTATAGGACTCATAAAATTGAGCAGCGGATATAGACTAGGTTGCATTCTTCGCAAGAATTAGTAAACGGCCACATACGGTCATTTGAATATTCTGAAAAATATCATAATAAGAAACTTTTAAAGGCAAAACCACCCTCTCTTCGGGTATCAAATTTGCAAAATACGTCATTTGCCACAAAATGACTATAAAGTACTTATTTTTGAGAAGTTGTTCCAGAAAATACAGTAAATGTGCTAACTCATGAAATGTCAACCACAATTTCGAAGTGCGTTTTCGTTTCGAAAAGATAAATTAAGTAGTGTCGTAAAACCAATCATGATGCAGCATAAGTCTATAATGATCCAGTTACCTCAGGGTGTCGGCTTTCGAAAGAACTTATTTTCGGCTGCATGCAGGATCTATACTCTGCAAAAAATGACTACTTAAGTAGCATGCCATTTTCTCATTGATTTTTGATGCCCTTGGAAATTCAATTATATTTCATGGAAAACATGCATAAAGATATTCATTCTTTTGCATGTTCGGTAGAAAATCACGTCGCTTCTAATTTCTTACTCAAAAGAAGAGTATAATTCGGTTTTAAAAAGCTTCTAATTGTGAGATTTTTTAATACTGTTAAATGGCCATTTATGAAACGTCATGTATCTGCATTTACGAATGTGGCTTATAAAGTTAACAATATTGCTTAAATCCGCTGTTTAATTTTATGAACCTCATATGGTCTCCTCTTAACACCGTAGAGAAATGCATGGTTTTCCATAAACGGAAAATATACAGCTTGTAGTTTTGAAACTCTGAATGCAAGTATAACAGCAGGTCGGGTTCAAAATTACTCGGGAATTGGAAAAGTTTTTTAAAACCGGATTATACTCTTCTTTTGAGTATGAAGTTGGAAAAAGACGTGATTTTCTACCGAATAAGTAAAAGAATAAATATTTTTATGCATGTTTTCCAGGAAATATAAATGAATATTCAAGGGCATCGAAAATCAATGAGAAAATAGCATGCTAATTAAGTAGTCATTTTTTGCAGATTATAGATCTTGCATGCAGCCGAAAATAAGTTCTTTCGAAAGCCGACACCCTGAGGTAACTGGATCATTATAGATTTATTCTGCATCATGATTGGTTTTACAACACTACTTAATTTATCTTTTCTAAACGAGAACGCATTTCGAAATGTTGGTTGACATTTCATGAGTTAGCACATCTACTGTATATTTGAATTTATAGGTCATGGGAGATCAATGGGAAACATCCACAATACTTCGTCAAGCACCTTTTACTGAGCGTAGCTTTTGCAGTCGGTCGAGAAGTAGCAACATCCTGTTGTGTCTGAAATATCATGGGATTATGCTGCCCGATAATCAGTATAACAGTCCCACTTAGGTAATCTCTCCAAATCGAAACCGCAATTCGAAATTTCTGTCAACACTTCATGCGATCGGTCATTGTTTTACTAGAGTGCAAACAATGTGCACGTGGCTGGCTAAACTGGTAACGCGGACACGTTCTCAAAACCATGAGTGATTTGCGTTGACTGGGCCACATGTGCACCGCTACTGGATCTCATTTAATCCCAAACGGGCTGACTGGGCTTAGGTAACTGTCGCAAGCAAACATTCACGCTGCGTCTATGCGGCAATACATACGCACGTGTCTATACAGGCCCCGCATTCTACATTTTACACCGCTGGCTGGATACACGAACAGGAGGATTACCAGCAAAGTTTGGACAGTATTCGTAAAACAAATACCGGCGTGGGGAGGGGTATTAACTCCACTTAGACCAAAATCAAATCAACTCCCCAGCAGAGCACACTGTATACCATGAGCATGGCAATCCCCAACACTACTCTAGCCTCATCACCTAATGCTGCCCATGATGCCGCCAAACCGATCGCGGAAAAACCATCCAATATTACCCCGCGCAGTTCCAAACGGAGCATCTCTTCTAATCCCTGAATCGTTTAAGTACTGGACCTTTCCTGTATAACCGAACGTAATTATGCTTAAAATATATATCACCTCAGTAGGGAAATAAGCCTATTAATATTACCGTTCCCTCTCACGCCGTTCAACCCCCGTTATGTGAAATCCTGGTGTTGTGTGTATGGGGGGCCAGGTCGTGCCGTGGCGCGCGCAGTCATGGTCAGTCGACCATGACAGCCACCGCGACCATTCCCCACTCCAGTCTGCTGACCGGCTCGGACAGCGGCTGGGGTGTGGGAGTGGAAAGGGAGAGTGAGGTCGACGACTCAGCGCACTTTCTCCTCACTATAAACAATCTGACGCGCTTGAAGCTATCACGGTGCGCTAAAAGCCGTGGCTTGGAGGGTTGCCAACTGACGGGGTACCTTGGACCTCCTCCTTAACTGGAGGCGGTCTGAGAGTCAGGCTGCAATGGCTCCTTTTTAATGTGGCCTTTATGTCACACCCATCACAGTGTGGGATCCGAGCCAGGCGTTGGCGGTACGCCCAGGTGCGGCTTCGGTCGTGCCAGCCTCCAAATCTCTGTTGTGTTGGTTGAAATCCTGGTTATTGTTGTGTGGACCAGGGGGTGTGGTGGAACGCCAAGGTGAGGATCCGTCCGAGCCATCCACCTGCGGCCTCCCTCGTCTCCGGTCTTCTGGACTCTGTCTTGACACCTGGCTCGGGCGAGGAAGGAGGAGAGAGTGTAGGTAGATGCTACGCAAATCTACTGGCACTATAAACCCCTGCGTAAGTCACCGTCCCTGCTCCCACTGCTGCTGCAACTGTGGGGCACACGGTGGACATCATCGAAACCGATGGTCGAACTGACAATATTGCCGTTATTACATTTGCCTTCTCTTCGGCTTCATTGCGCATGCCACCACCACAATGTAGGCGTGGATTTGAGGGGGTGAGCGCTTATGCTTTAGCTCGGCCTTAACACTTATGGGCTTACTGACTGAGATATGTTTGTGGCAAACCGGCTGTTCTTTCTATCTTGGCCTTTTCAGGAGCCTGAGATCGTTGAGCTGCCTGCGTAGCGTGTCTTGTCACGCACCTAACTGTTTTACTTTCCCTGAAATATACTGATACTGATACTGAATCTCCGCGATGACATTTCAAAAGAAACATAACCAAAATGACGTAGATCTGTGGGGAGAAGGTGGGGCGTAGGAATTCCTTTTTAACGTTGGCTACGAACAGGTGAAATCTATTCGACTAAAAAACGTTGACACCGAAATGTGCGCAAGCCGCAACTGAGTATCCTTGTGGCTCCCCGTCGACTGTTTCGACAGTTGATTTTCCATCATCTGAGAATCGCTGGGTGAGCTAAGCCTTCGCTAATTGTGTTGAGCTTCCGACTCAGATGGGGAGAAGAGGGGGAATGCTGACCAGTCGCGTTTTCAGCAGACATCAACTGCTAACCCAAGTAGTTGGGTCAGAGGACGCGAGTTTGAGCCGTCGGCGGTTCGAGCCTGACCCAAGCCGTATGGTTTCTTGACTAAATAGTCAAAATTACAAAAAACTGTTGCCAACTTTGGCAGATGGGGCCCTCATAGTTTCTTCAAGGCACAACGACGGGTCGACTTACTTTCAGGCCAAGGCTGCGAGACGTTGCGAAGCAGTGTGCCTCGAATTAGACGCTTACGTCATGCAACCTTTTGGAACTTTAACAGCCAGAAACTTCTGATTTATAAGTGACGACAGAAAAATGCCCCTTTCTACCTGCGTACGTGCATAAATAAAACGCATTGTCATGCCGATTCCATCGTGTTAAAAGGATTCTGATCTCTTATCTCTGCCGACATACATGCCGCATAAAACAATCTTGCCAGGTGTTTAAAAGTTAAAATAATCACCTAAAAGTGGGTCGTTCATGGTTACCCATGGTGCATTTTAAAAGCCGGAATCCTTTAGTGACAGGAATATTCTCTGAGTATGCTGCACGAGGATCGGTTTCACAACGCCATTTGAGTAATTCTCACTAACTACAAGCACATTTCAGAATGTCAGTTAACATTTCCTGAGATCAAACAGTGAATGTTCTTCACACGTTGCATGATTTGCCATAATGATAGCAAAAGTACTAGCTAAAAGCCCAGGCTATTGTTTCGCCGATATTTTGCCGGGATTCATCAGTGGGTCCTCCAAGAGTTCCCCTAGGTTTTTTGTGCATACTTTTGGCACGAGCCATACGTGATATACCAGGTCAATGTGGCATTCCTGATAAAAGCTAGCATACTCATTTAGTGACACGTGTCAAAAAACAGCAGATGACACAGACAATTTACTCTCTGTCTTTGTTTCTTCGCTCGCAGAGCAAAGCCTTTGACGGTCTCGTCGAAAACCGAACACTGGCGACGAAGCCAATAATTGACGCAAAGGATATGACTCGGCGCAAGCAACGGATAATGGATCAGCGTTGGGACATGGCTATTCGGCTGGGGAAGGTGCCCCACTTGGCGGACATATCAAAAAGGCCTGACAGAAATACGTACGGAGTCAACGGAATTTCTATATTTTCGCCATTTTGTCCCGAGCGTTGTCTTCCAGTGAGTTTTCTGTGAGCGTACTTGGCCTTTCCTTATTTGAAGACTATTTGGTTTATAAAATGATTAAAAAGTAAGGCTATATGCGAACACAAAAATAGCATCAGAGATAGAAACGAGTCAGTATGCGAAGGCAATGAACTCATAGGCGTCCCTACTTGCCTTTTTTAAAAAAGGACTGCAATATCCAATGTCAAACCACATTTTCGAAAATAATGCGGTTAGTATCTCATAAGACAAGCTATATATTGCATATATATGCATATATGTATATGGCATTTGGCGAGGCATTGATGAACTTCGATTCGACGAAGTGCTTATGATCCATCTGGTAGACCCCAGTGGTGGACAAACTACGCTAGGTGTGTCAATGCGCACGTTTGTGTTTCTGGTCTCAGCTGCTGGTCATAGTTATGAATGGCTGAATGAAGGCAGAATAAGTCCGAAATAATACTGTATCAATCTACCCACGTTCTCTGTCGTCCCTCCTCGATAATATTACGACTTGACCGCCTTCGGCCTGGTAGTTTATAGCCTGTTCTTGACGTTTACCACCTATACGGAGCTTGTTTACTTCGGGAAGCCAATAAATCGGTGTGCGCCCATTCTTGATTGATTATGTATGTCCCGGAGACCTAACTCCATGTCCTGCACTGAATAATTTCTGAAATTATTCACGTGATTATTCTCTGAATTTCATGTGCTAGAAACCGCATAGGGAACGCTGGGGGAAGCCGGACCCCTCGCAGCTGTGTCTCACGCAGATTTAGAATGGCGGCGAAACACGTGTCTGGACTTTTAGCTAATATCTCTGTCTTCAGTACGGTATAATACCTTCTGGGCTTGCACCTTCGATTCCAGGTTGTGCTTATTCCATTGCCCTACGAGTGTCAATCTAGGGCCCTTGCAGGCAGTCTGGCAGCGACCAGAAGTACATACTGATGAAATGTATCGACAGGGACGCAATAGGCTGGGAAACAATAGGGGATACGGGGCAGTTTGTCACCTAAATGTACGTGCATTTCTCAACCTCTGTGCACAACAAGGCGTCTAGTGTGATAGAAGAGATTAAAAATCTTGTTTCTAGAAATCACACTGTGAATAAAATCCAAGTAAAACCCCTGACTACTATATTTAACCCTGCAATTGTCATTAGACTGTGAGCTCCGGGTGACTGAATGTCTCCAGCCGGTCGCTCTCCGTCCACTTATGCTACATCGTGTCTGTTGTTATGGAACACTCTGCGTAATAATAATTTGTTGGCATTTGGCCAGAACTCAAAGTCAACTGAAACATGCCGTTCTTGCCGAACCTCTTTGAGGGCGTACTTCTTTCAGAAGAATCTGGGGTGTATATCCGGTGATCTGACAAGAGATCGACTGTCATGCCCGACCATGTTCAGCGTGTGCTCCACTGATAGATGAGAGCGGGCACGGTGACTTGCGCATGAATTAGTTTATAGTGAGAGTAGCTTGCGCATTTCCCATCGCACTCTCTCCTCCCCACCTGGGCCCAGTACAAAGACATAGTCAAGAAGACCAGAAGGGGGAGAGCGCCTGTGGCTGGAACGGCCGGGCCCGCACTTAGGCGTACCACCACACCCCCTGGTCCACAACAAAAACTGGACCAGGATCTTAATCAGCAACAAGAGCACCACAACGGGTCAGGGAAACACGGATGTCTGGGCCACCACGCACGTTACCGGTATACCCAGCGAGAACCCAAACGCATCTACCGCAGGGGACCAGAAGTCAGAGAATTGCCAGTGCATACCAGGCTGCGAAGGCTGTGGTTTGCTGATCCTGGTATATCAGACGCTTACAGGCATTTAAAACCGTTCATCAAGAAAGTATAAGGGTCACCCTTATCCAGATTTCAGTCAACACATTTTTCACTGTTAGGTATTGCGTGACATTCAATTCGCCAGTTGGCAGACTGCTCTAATCCCACAGGATGCAGTAATACGCAACTTAGGGTGGCAGGTTAACTTCCTCTCAGAATCACGTTTCCGCAGTTCTGTTCGAGGGTTCCAGCGGCCACAGCTCATTGGCGTACTTTTCACACGCCAATGGGCCATCAGTTTTGACATCAGTGGACTTTATACTGAACTTCGGCAGATGGAACCCTCATAGTTTCTTCATGGCACAACGACGGGTCGACTAACTTCCAGGCCAAGGCTGCGAGATGTTGCGAAGCAGTGTGCCTCTAATTAGACGCTTACGTCATGCTACCTTTTGGAGCTTTGACAGCCAGAAACTTCTGATTTATAAGTGACAACAGAAAAATGCCCCTTTCTACCTGTGTACGTGCATAAATAAAACGCATTGTCATGCCGATTCCATCGTGCCTGCAAATCCAGAAGGTGCCTGTGAACTAGGATTTCTGCCCAACTACTGAGGGATTTTTGCCGTCAAAACGCATCATACCGACGCTCTTTGCAAGCAAAAACTCAAGCATCTTCAAGGATGAATGTGCGTACCTTGAACCTCAAAAAATCATAGCACGCATGAGAAGATGACTTTATCTTTGCATGAAGAGGGCAATTTTTGGTCAATCCACCGGACCGCATTCCCAAGGCCCCAAGTCTGATATGGAGAAATAATTGTAATGTGAGGTGATACTACGATAACTATTTTCAGCCTACCTGTCGTCATCCAACCAAAGCCAAACCTACACGTCTACTTCGCCTTTGCTGATAGCACCTTAGATTACTAGCTGCACGTCTGTTTCATTCCACCAATGAGGGTATATTCGCAAACGTGTATAACAAGGATTGATTTCGAAAAAATCCGAGTAAAAGCACATATGTGGTCACAATGCACTAGCCTAAAAGAACCAAGCCTCTTTTTGTGGACACTAAAAACTCTGAAACGGTTGGCAATCAAGTCAAGCTAGGTACTTCACAAACAGGCCGGAAAGAGAATCAAATGTTGCAGGAAACGTGACAGAAGAGCATCTCGCAGACGTTTCTGCCGTACTAGGAAGGCCGACTGACTACCATTTGCGATCTCAAGGAGCTGTCACGGGCTGTCGTAGTTTTTGTCACGGACTGTTTACCTCGAACACACTTAGAATTACAAATTCAGTTGGCCATCGAGCGTAGACTACGCCCTTGAAGCTGCACTGTATTCTGAGACTGTGGTTCGTGAATTCGGTCAACTTCAGCACAGAAATTTGACATTATCTGGTTTATCGCTCTGGATCTGCTGGACGATGGACTAGCCGTCGTGTGCTCCACCTCAGTAACCGATAACTCCATGCGGTTAGGTCTATACATAGGCAGGAAAAATATCACCCTACCTTAGGGGCGTTCGGACGGTTGCTGGCAGGTCACCTGATCTGACGAATAGAAATATCTGTCGTGTGCAAACTGGCGTCGATATGAACTCGTTGTAACATCTGAGGCTCGGACCCACGACCGGTTGGTTAAAATTCCAACGCTCAAATACTGAGCCACAGGCTCGCTGTCTTGTCAGTTGCGGTCTGGTTTATTGACAATGGCAGAGGAGCACTTACCGCTTGCGTCGGGGTTAAGTGCAGTAGGTGGGCTAACTCATAGAATGGCAACCGAAATTCTGAAATGGGAGGGTTGTTAAACTTACATCATGCAGCATAATTCTATAATAACTCAGTTAACTAAGGATGCCGGCTTTAGAACAAATGTGTTTCCGACTGCATGCAAAAACCATGCTCTGTAAAAAATAACTGCCTAAGTTGAATATATTTTTCTTGTTGATTTTCAATGACCCTCAAAATCCAATTATATTTAATGAAAAACATGCATAACATATTCATTCACTTACTCATTCGGTAGAAAATTATGTCCTCCTCCAATTTCATACTCGAAGAAAGGGTATATTTCGGTTTTAGAAAGATTCTAATTGTGAGACTTTTAATACTGTGAAATGGCCGGTCATAAAACGCCACGTCTCTGCATTTACCAATGTGTCTTGTAAAGGTAACAATATGCCTCAAATCCACTGTTAAATTTTATGAACCCCATATGGGTTCCTGTTAGTGCCGTAGATAAATATATGGTTTTCCATACGCGGAAGATATAAGGCTTGTAGTTTGGGAATCCGAATGCAAGTGTAACGGCGGGTCGGGGTGCAAAATTATTCGGGAATTAAAAAAGTTTTTGAAACCGAATTAAACCCTTCTTTCGAGTGTAAAATTGAAAGAAGACGTAATTTCTACCGACTGGGCAAGAGAATGAATACTTTAAGCATGTTTTCCATGAAATATAGTTGTATTTTTGAGAGCATCGAAAATCAACGAGGAAATTGCATGCTACTTAAGTAGTCCGTTTTTACAGTGTGATTTTACATGCAGTCGGAATGAAGTTCGTTCGAAACTCGGCATCCTGAGGTAACTGAATTATTATAGAATTAGGCTGCATGATGATTAGTTTTACAACCTTCCTTAAGTAATTTTTTCGAAACGAAAACCCATTTCGGTACTCCGGTTTACATTTCCTGAGTTGGCCCACCTACTGTATGGCTGAATGATGACAAGTAATAAGCTAGATGTGGTCATTCCAGTCCCCCATGTCTTTGTCCGCAACGGTTATTCGGTCTATGATACTAGCCGCCTAGCGGCTGCTGGTAGGCCTCGAGATTGACCTCTAAGGCACAAGGGGAAGTGTATGTCCCGTAACGCGATCAGTGAACGCCCCCCTCTACCAACCCTGCAATACGTCCTAGCATGGGCATGGCGCTAAGTCAACGGCCCCGCCCTAACTAACCGCCCCTTGTCACCATACATGCCTATTAGTGGAGCACAGCTGTGAGCGGTGAGAGTGAACAAGTAGGGGAAAAACGAAACGTCTTATTTGGAAACAGACTTCGGTAGCTCCATTGAGGAACTGTTTACCAGTCGGCGTGGTTAAAACGGGAAGAGCAAAATGTCACAAAAACGCGGCTGACAGCGTAATAAAAAGCATGTGCTTGTAAGAACAACCAGTTGAATTTTAGTTTTGATGCTCCAGTCTTATTACACGGGAAGCCCTATCAGGGATTGTATGATCGATAGTCAAAAGCAGGCATAAGTGCGACGAAAATCAGGGCGAAGTGGATGCAGCGAATTCGCAGTAGTTATACCAGATGGAACACAAGATATGAGTAATACCTAAAAAACTTTAATCAGCTAAAGAGCGCACGAGAGGTATCCCTTACGCTGAAGGCGTTCTTTTTTCATAAATTGGAAGAAGCCAGGAGCGTAGTAAAAGAGGAGGGAAAGGATGCAAACATCTAAGGATTGCCTAACTGAGGCCCGCGGGGTGTGGTGGGAGTGTAAGCATCGAGTTTCCGAATCTTGTTAAAAAGGCGTTCGACTTGAACAGATCGTAAGGGATTAGAAGACGGATCTACATCCAAAGTATTCGAGTGATGAAACTTCGTTGGGAAATGTCAGTAAACCCAGAATGGGGGGTTTAGTGCAGAATAATACATGATAAAAGCAAACTCTAGCCCGATGTTTGGTGCGAAGGGCTAGAATGTTTGCTAAGCGGACAACATCGAGCGGAAGCCTAGAAAAATCCATGATTGTTTCAAGAAAACAGGTATCCTGACAGGTTTATTGCAACGAAGGTTTCCGAGAAACTGGAATAAACACACCGTACTGACTGCCGAGAAGAAAGCGCTGTTCCTCAAAGTCCATTTTCAAGAGGACGATGCGAGTGAACTCCTAAGAAGTCGCCTTAATCAAACTGTTCCATGAACCTCTCTAGCAGCAAAGGCTCGAATATTTTTCCCACTAGGCCCATTTTATGCGGAGAAGGTAAGGATAGGTTGTTATCCCAGTGTGCACCTCGGTGCGCATCTACCTCTTCACTTGCTCCTTGGAGCAGGTTATTTCGGTCGCACGAATCGACGCCTATCCAAGAAAATACAACCAAACCCCCAGCATGGCTGGAAAAAGGCAAAACTAGGCGTATAAACAGCGCTATTCTCGTACTCGTTGTTGATTCTGGGCATCGTGTGGACCCCAGAGAAGCTTTTTGCGTGGTGGCTACGAAAGGATGTAGGACCCACAACTAACTTGAGTTGGTCTGTGGATTATGTCATACGGTGAATGGTAGTGGAGGGGGATTTACGGGCCGGGCAACACGCAGGATGGAGTGGAAGAAGACACGGAGAATAGATAAAGTTCTGCCGAAAATCTTATCGTTCGCTATCATCTGGCAAAGAAAATGAGCGCGATAGTTAAAAATTAAACAAAAAGCAATTTTTAAAAAAATAACGGACTTTAAACAAAGCGCCGCTAATAAGTTCGCATTCGAAGGGAGAGAAATTTCAAAGGGAACGGTGAATAATAGGTGATGTTAGCAATCACACTGAATTTTAGAGTATATTTTTGCAGGTTTCATCTGCTTGTGGGTCCTATACCCTCGTAACCCGCGTGATGTATAAGGTCCCATCGATCTGCCCTAAGCTACTGGACCAGCGTCTGTTAGCAACACCGGAAGCGACCGCACTCAGGTTACGAAAGCCGACCATGTACACTCGGAAGAATCTCGTTCAGGCTCCGCGCTTACCGTGGTGCAAGTACACTAAGTGCATGCAGCTCTCTTCGAACCCTTCCGTTCTCACCCTCCACTGGAATGATTCATATCCCACCCCCCCTCCCATATTTTGTGTTTTAAGACGTACGTTAATCGATTCCTCTAATCACTGAGGTGTTTTCGCTTCTACCCCTGTCCTATATAAGTGTACTGGCACGACGTGAATTCATCGGACACAAGCGTGCGTTCGCCAACTAGTCTTCTGAATACTAAATCGTCCTTCAGCTGTTAAGTAGACGACTACCCTCTGGTCACCATATTGTCGTCTGGTCCGAGTTTTCCTTCAGGAAGTTGTACATCAAAACCCACTTTTGATCGGAGACGAGGGCTAATGCCATCGGTACGTTTAACGCGTAAGATGGTACCGCTAAATATCCCAAGATTATTGGAAAAGGTGCAGACCCATGGTCACCAGTCTAAAAAGTGAATTCAGCAAAGAAAACCCATCTGAGAGAGCCCAACTCAGGTGTTTTCTTAAGAAACAGTAGGAAGAACGGAAGAATGGGCAAGGAATGTACATACGCGTGTGGAACAACTCTTGTCTGCTGGAGCAAAGTGAATCACCAGAGGAGCGGCCTCCAAGGTAGTAGGCTAAGCTTTCCAGTAAACTCAAAGATATGATGGACAACTGATTGCACAGCAGGAATTTTGAAAAAGGGGCCGTTTGAACACCACGAGCATTTATTGAATGATGTTTCATTCTCAAGTAGTTCCATTTTCAATTTTTTGAAATAATTCGCTTCTTTGTAACATACAGGGAGTTCAAAGGTTCGACATCTACGTCACCCTGAGATAAACTGAACCGAATTTAATAAGAAATGTGAAAATGAGTGAAAGCTGAGCAGAGCAGGTCTTAAGGGGAAGAGAATAGACACTGCTATTACCGGCAACTGTTAAGTCACGGATCCCTGCAGGTACTTCTGGCTAGGTTTGGTTCTACAGTCCCAATGGATTGATACCATATGGTTAGCTTATTAAAACAATATTAGTTAATATACCTAACTTATTAATTCGCGGGTAAAGAGAGCGCAAGTAGAGCTTAGAGCCCGCACAGGGAAGCTAGTGGAGGTGGTGTGTACATACTCCCCCGATACAACCCCGCGGATTAAGGGGATACGGGGGGGGGCGCAATCACAACTAGAAGGCCACGGAAGGAACCGCATGATAATTCGCGGTTCATGGTCGCTGTAGTTCCACACTATCCAGACAATTCCATTATCAAGTCTACTTGACCACTCGCCGGGCTAAGATAATAAAGAGGGCGCAAGCAGGGAACACACAGGGAAGCGCGTGTGAACTGATACGTGAAGTAACCGAAGCTAGCGTATAATTACTCCTCCACCCGTGGCACTGTCACTCGCTGGATTAAAATGGTCAACAAGATGCAAGTAGGTGATGGTTGTAAAGTCAGCTTATTCACATCTGTCAAAGCTTTTTTAGAAAGCTTACCGTATGGTATCACTCAGGTGGGGCTTCAGAACCAAACCTCGCCGTACTTCTCGAATACAGTCACTGACAGTGGAAAGAAAATGCCTAGTTTGAAGAGAATCGGCAACTTTACTGTAAATCTAATGACCTTATTTCGCAGGTGAAATTAAGACTGCACAAGTCAGTGTTATTTATTGGCCGGTGAGGCGTTTATGGTTTCTCCAAATCTCGGTGAAGAGAGGGAGATGGGGAAAAATGACTGACACATAAGGAATTCAGTCTATTTGTATAAAACTTTCAACTTCCATGCTGTTGCGCAAGTTTGGCATGCTGTGACCATCTTCCCGTCAAACTAGAAGTTTAATTTGGATAAAATAAATTAACCCGACTGTGGCCAGAACAGTCTCGGGCAGATAACGGGGGCCAATACTGCGTTTGAAATCGTTGGAAGGTAGGTAGGTCACGAGTGAATGTTCGAGAGTTTAGGAACAGCAAGGCTGAAACAGGCAATATAATTCTAAAATCAAGCGAATATTTTGGGGAAGCCGATTTTTTTCCTCCTGCTTGCTTAGTAATAAAGTATTTTTTTGAAAGACATGTTAATGAGGCTCTTTTTCAACGTAAAAGACCCTTGACAATTAGGTAGAGCATTGTTGGGTGGGGTATCGTGTCGGGTTTTGAGATAAATTTAAATCCTCGAGACATGAAGGAATCAGGGTGCGGCAGTGTGCCGGAATAGGCACTCCCGCGTGCTATGGGTGGGCTTGCGCCAAATTTGAGGAGGGGGGCTTACGGTGAGGGTGAGGGTTAGGACACGGAAAAACGTACCCTCTGTGACTTGGCGCCAGGCCACCTGTAGAACTGTCTTGTTCTTACGTTCATCCGCCGTGCACACAGATCCATTAGATTTATCCTGTCATACACAACGAATAGGAATGTTGACCTAGGCTGCGGTAACGGCAATTTCGCAGATACAGGTGACCGGCACCTTCATTTCTCTTCAACTTCCATGCCTTCTCTCGTGCCAAAGGACCCCGCCATCTTCGTGCCGCCGGATGAAATTACCGATGAGGAGGTTGAGCTCTACCAAATGACTGAGGAGGACATGGAAATGCTCACAAGACTCATTGCCTTGGAACAGGAAATGATGCTCAGTCCAAAGGCCGCAAACCTGCCAATCACGTATCACGCGGCTGACGTACTTGCTCGGTGAGTTTTAACATCGATTGAGTAAACTGATTTCGTTCAGCCAAATCCCCCTGATCTTCCTCTCTCTGGTGGTGGCAAGGTCCCACTACCTTCAGTTAATTCCTTTTAACCTGACTGACCAATGAGCTGTCGATCGAAAGAAGAGCCGGCAGTTGGAATTATAGAAACAGATTCGCACTTTGTTTTAAACAGTTCATTTTGGGAGCCAATCGCTGAGTAGCTATTGCGGTAGGGCACGGGAATAAGGACTTTGCGCTAAATTCAATGGGGGCTGGATTTGGAGCAAGGATGAGGAAATTTTGGATTTGGGTCAGCGTTAAAGTCAGGATACGGGAAAATGTGCCCCCATCTGGAATGAACCGCAAGGTCATTCGTAGTGCCAGGAGTTCCCATTTCTGTGTCCAGCCGTTCGCGCGCCCTAAGACTATATGCTTAGTTTTCCTGCCGATAAGAGCTAACTGGCCGTCACCGGTTTTTGTCTCTTCTCCCAAACACTGTAAACGATTCATTCGATGTGATCCGTTCTTCGAATGAAGCAATAAAATCCTTATTGTCCGTCTTTGTGTCAGATAACCAGGGCTAATACGAAAGGGGCGAATGAAGTTGCTTACCTAAATAACTTTGGATGTTGGGACACGAAATCCTAGAATAGTACCATTAGGAACTGAGGGGGGTGTCATTGGACAAGGATGAAACAGCCTTCAGTCCGATAGTCGTGTCTGTTGGGTCCTGCCAAGGTGCGACCGAGGGGGACTGGGACAGACGATATCTGCCCTACGTGCTTGAAGACTCCATAACCATTGACTGAAAATTTTCAGATAAAAAATATTACTCCAGACCGGTCGCAAAATGTACAGAATGCAGTAGAATCCTACGCTATTTCCCGCACGGCAGAAATGTGCCCTCTAAAAGACCATTTTTTCAGCCATTTAAGCATATTTCCCACGGCTGACTATAAATATCAACGTAATGTGCATTTTATCCGTTATCATTCATGCCTGCATAAGTGTGGATCTAGTTTGCAAAAAGACTGCTCAAAATATCCTCTTATTTTTTGTATTATATTATAACTAACCCTCGTTTAAAATCCAATATTCAGAGAAAGGGCTTTTCGGTTGTTGACAAGTTTGCTACTATCCGCACTCTTTGGAACAAGACATTATTGGGGAAATGAAGGTACCTTTTAACAGAAATATACCCTCTTTTCAAGTAGAAAGTTAGGAGAAGACCCAATAGCTACTAAACGAGTGTAAAAAAGAATATATTTGTACATGTTTTTTTCTAGAATATGATGGAATTTATAAGTATCAAAATCAATGCCAAAATTTCTTACTACTTTTGTGATCGTTTTCCAAGAATTTAGTTTTTTTCAGACGGTTTAAAAGGGATTCACTCAAAAGCCGGCATCCTAACTTGACTGAAATTTGTTGGGATTATGCCGCACGACGATCCACAGTATGACCCTGCTTAAGTAGACTTTTCGAGTCGAAAGCATATTTCAGAGATAGCACATCTACTGTGTGTAATACGCATGTAATATAATTTGCCCAAGTCGGTATGACGGCTAAAAGTCTGCATGTGACGGTCTGCTCTCGAATGTAATTTACTGTAGCCGGGTACCTGTAGAATAGAGACAGAGTCTTGTGCGCACCTGTGGACGAGCTGTTTACCCTCGTCAGTCACTGGATCCAGCGTAATTCTACGTCTACCTGACTCTAATAGTCCAGAAAATGAGACCGATTCCGTAAAGGTCATTCTTACGACAAATTAGCCTATCCAACATTAAAATAAGTCTGGTGCGCTCAAATCTACCGCGACGAGCTATCGGTCGGGGGTTGAAAGATTTCCGTCTGAGGGGGAAAGTTGGTTCTACTCAGAACTGTGGGTTAGAATTTACTGGCTTACGCTCCTTGTGGCCTTTACTGCATTTTCGCTCGCGTAGGATCCGAGATCCTCCCCTGAAGGAAATCAGGCACACATGGAGTTGTCAACCGGCTCGTGTGAGGCACACGCAGATGGAGTGTCCAACTCTGTTTACCATTGAACCTGCAGTCATTGCCAGCCGTTTTAATTCTGTCTTGCAGGCAGAACATGATGAGTGTGTGGGATACATTCAGCTCAAGTTTGCTTTGCAGGGAACAAATTATCGCGCAATTCATTGCTGGGCCGAAGTGGACCTTGTCGTTTACGACGGCCCATCTATCCTTATTTCCTTAAGTTTTTTCCGCAAATTTATCGAGCTGGTTGATAATACGATATGACAATTTAAGGTGACCATTAATTGACTATCTTCCAAATCGCTGAGATGGTCTAAACTGCTTAGAGGCTATAAACAGGCGGTAGACCAACTAGTCCGAGTTCTGATACCGGTGCTTTTATTCCGCCTGAGTGAGTTTGTGGCTACCATTATAATCCTGTGCTTAGATACGGCCAGTAGATACAGAGGGGAGACGCCAATTGAAGGGATTACCTCTGATCTTATTTGCAGAACGTTAACTATACTGAACAGTACGGGCCGAAGGCGCTCGTGCGGTGTGCGCCAACCAACCAGAGCTTTGCGGGAGATATGAGTTCACGATAAAGCATGCCGCTATCGGCGACGGAAAATCGACAGACCACCTGTCTGGCCTTGTGTGTACAACATCCGCCTGAAGTGATGATTGCATAACTCATGAAGGTGCCCCGCGTGGATGCGAGCTGAGGGTGCTGTGCATATATAGAACTTGGATCTACATGCTTCGTATACCCGTGGTCTGTTTTGGTGAAATATTTACTCTGATCACCAATTTGAGCAGACAATTGTTTTAATGTTCGGAGGTAGGACTGTAAGGAAAGTTCAAATGAGGAGAGGGATAATTAATGGTTCGGTGTTTATACTTTCAGCGGGTGTAGTTCCCAATTATGTTTGATACGTGCCGTAACGACAGCGGCATTTAAGTGTTAGAAATCAGTCTTCCGATGTACTTTCCCTAATCATCACATGCTTCGTAATTCATCAATTATTCCGAGGTGGTCACCTGCAGGGCCTCTACCAATATGCCTTCCAATTATTCCCTTTTTGCTCAGTTCAAGTATATTCATAAGAGGCACCTTTTGCGCACGGAAGCACTGACGGCATGATGTTGAATGTTTAACCGAACAAAAAATCAGAAGTGGTTACTCCTGCTTGTGGAGATCTGGAGGGTAGTGTGCGGTCTGCCAGTTATTAAATTCTACTAAACGGGCCTACTCCTAACCTTTGCAAAAAATGTCAGTCACATGAGCCAGCTGGACCCAGGTTCGTGTGTGTTTATGAGAAAGCGGTTTTCAGACCAATCCGGAGGCGTTTTTAACACCCACTCAAGGCGCTCACTGGGTCACGCGGTACACAGTCAGAAGTACATCGCGTTTCCTCCACTAACATTCCGTGAATGTCAATGCAAGCATCTCATAAACACAATAGCTCGTTAGAAACAGCACTCACATTCTTCCTGGAGGTGCATGTTTTAAAGGAGCGTAATGTCCGTCAAAATTAGCATAAAACCAATGTTTGTGCATTCCTCCGGAAAGCACGATTTGCCTTACATGGTCCTCGAATGTTAATTAAAAATATGGCAGAACTGTCTTATATGGCCCCCTAGAGAGGACTTGAGAACAGGCAGCTCTTGCAATGCGAGTAGCTTTGGATCATCTTCCAGTGAAATCAGGGTCAGGTTTGTGGTCAGAGCTAGGGTTAGGTTAGGGATTAGGTTTAAGACTAAATCTACACTTGATGGTAAGGTAAGTCGGCATCAAGTTTAGGGATAAGGTAGGGGCTGGTGTCAACTGCAGATCTAAGGTCAGGACAGGGCAATATTTTGTCCCTACCGGAATTATTCGCGGGCTCACCTTTATTTCTCGGACGGGGCGTACCTATTCCCATGTCCTGTTTAGGGGGCCACATGAGATAGCACTACTTAAAATACTCAACCTGTTAACGTAGTCGCATTTTTTCAGAATATTCTTTAAACAAATAAGACAATTTTTCCATACTAGTTGACATTGCAGCCTTACTTAAGCAATACTTTCTAAATGAAGGGCTATAAAAAGATTTCTGCGAACGGTTCAAGGATTGGAGAGGCAACCGTGGGACTTCGGGATGGTCCTGCGTCTTTAGAAAGGCAGGGCTTCTCGTAGAAGGAAAAAGGAAGAGAGGATTGAGAAACTTTGCTGACGGAGGGGTCAGCTTTAAGGTCCCTTTAAAATTCCTTCCTCCCATGAGAACAAAATGGGGAAAAATATCATTCATAGACAACTTTAAAAGACAGAGGCCTGACTTCTCCATGTCATGATTAAGACAATCGCGGAGAATCTCTTCGGACAGTTATCTTCTGAGCATGAGTGCTTTTATGCAGGATGTTACAGTCAGGTAGAAGTTGGAAGTTTTAGACGACCACTTGACTATTCTGACTTTCTGGTCCTGGATGAGTGATGCGAGGAGTCGTCATCGTAACTAACACACACGTTAGACCTGCTGCATGAATGAGACACTGGGCGCAGTATCAGCTTCGAATCAACAGAAGTTTTTGAATTTTGATCATAAATTCCGGGGAAGCATTCTATCCACAGATAGCCTTCCGGACCGTTTTGCAAGTGGCAGGTTGACGCATGCTGGGAATGAGTTTATTTACGTTTGTCGACTGAGCCTTTTTCCAGCATGTAACAACTGTCGAGCACTATCACTGGGAACTGAAGGTGCATGGTTGTCCGCAGAAAAGGGTACCTTTTTGATTCTTACAGCTGTCAGGCGACTACTCTGAGTGTAACACTGTGTGGGATGAAAGGGTCCCAGAAACCGTTCGTCTGACTACAGACTCGTGCGTACTTTCAACTGCTCTATCGATTTTTAAGGTGCGTTAAAGCGCAATGTTCACAACAGTACAAAACTCCGAGGGTTGGAAACCTCCCAGCAGGGATACTAACCATTCTAATCCTAGCTCCAACAACAACCCAAAACCTAACCCTAGTTCCCCAGAATTTGGCACA